AAGGAAAGGAAAGGAAAGGAAAGGAAAGGAAAGGAAAGGAAAGGAAAGGAAAGGAAGGACTTCAATGTCTGAGTTAGGTCTGACTGCATCAAAAAAAAAAATGTACCAACCAAGTGAGCCTCAGAGAACTTGTTAAAGATCTCCTGTAGTAGTTTTCTCATAAATATTTTTAAAGCAATTTTTCACAGCACCCAGGATATTGTATAAAACCATTTTCGGTATTACGAGAGGTGATACAACCCAACAGATTTATTGCAAATGTTTCTACCATGCCCATTCTGAGATTTCAGGAGCTTTATAGTTAGCAACATATTAGTAACAGTATCAGTATTATTCCTATAAAACAATGCAGCCATCTACTAAAATCAACATGCTAATTAAATCAAGACCATATAAATACACGATTAAAACCTCAAAATCTACCTCAAGGCAACTCACAACCCCTAATTCCCAAAGACTCAGGATAACAGGACTGTTTTAACTATACCATCCTAAAATTCAGCAGACTTAAACTCATATCCAAGATCTCAAGATGGAAATAGATGCAGAAAGGCTTACCTTTCTCTGCTGACAGTTTACTAACATCCATGGTTTTGTTCAAGACTTTGATAGCTAAAGCCAGTGCAGACTTCAAGGTCATTTCTCCCTCTTTGTAGTCTTGTTTTAGCATTGATACAGCTGCCTGTTAAAGAACAGAAAGGCTCTGCGGTTGGTTTTTGCTGCTCTAGGCATATGAAAGGAAAACAGCAAAGTCTGGTAGCCCAAACCACACATTCAACATTCCTATTCATTAAAGTGATCACGAATCACTTAATTGTCCACCAGAATCTCCAAAGACAGGGTTCCTCAACCTCAGCAACTTTAAGATGGGTGGACAACTCCCAGAATTCCCCAGCCAGCCATGTTGGAAAATGCCAGACTTGCGAACCCTCCAAATCCAGCCTGTAAAGCAATCAAGATCTGTGGGTCCTCAACTGCTTGCTCCTAATAGTCTGACTGCTGTGTTTTTCACTCATTGAAGTTCCTGAATATTTTTCAAGGGTCCTTTGCAGATATAAAGGATTTCCCCTTCCACATGATTATTTTTCTACCCGTTATGACCAGGCTTTATTCCTGGGGAATGCTTTTTTCAAGAGTTCTTCAAACTTTCAAACATGCAGGAAAAACATTAACGCCCAAGGCGATAAACTTACAGCACTATTGTTTCCGATGCACGTGGCTTTCCAACCCCCATAATTCCCGCTAGGATCACTCTGATACAGCTGGAAACCATAATGCTTATCCCAGCCAATGTAAAGCAGCGAAACACCAAAAGGACGTTTTCCTGTTAAGTATAAGGATGCAGGTGATTTAAATTAAGCAGCGCAATTTACCGAGGTAAAAACGTCAACGTTTGCTAAGAAGTAAGACTCAACAAACTGCTCTGCGTTACTGCTACATAAGATAAATTCTAATAAGTTCTTTCCAAGTACAAAATTACATGACAGATGATGATGATTTTCTCCTGCTGTGACATCACTTCTGGTTTCTGCAAAGGCACCACTGCTCAAGGATGGCTATGCAAACATATCTGCAGTGCACACAGATTGTGGGTCCCCCTCCCCTTTCTTAAAGTAGCTTTTATGGAACACAAACACCTGAGCCCATTTTAAAAATGACCCACAATAGACAGAGTATACCCAAATCTGTGAACGGACTTCTTAAAAAAGCAGAACCCGAAAATAAGCTGTCTTGCTACAGGGTGGAGCTAAAGAAAATGCATTCTGATTCCAGACAATTCCAATTCGTTTAGGGAAAGAGTTTTTTGATGATTTAAATAAAATTGTAT